GTTATTACGTCCAAGTCATTACATTGTTAAAATAGCGCCAATAGCTGCAGTGGAGAATGTAGTTCAATTGCCTGTACAATTCTCCCATAGCATTATTGATTTTTTCTGGAGTGGAACATTTTAGGGAGAGGCGGGCGAGAGCGAGGGTACCCATTGAACTTCAAAATAAAAAGAGAGCGTGGAACTGTTATAATCAAAGTCTATTACAATCTTTGCAAAGAGTGTAAAAATAGCCCACTTTTGCAGTTTCTCTGTGTAGCACTTTGCAGACAACTTGATAATTTTCTATGCCATCTGTCTCTCCCTAACGATTTGTTGACCACGTTAACTGTTCAACTCCCGGCAGAAGATGAACCAGCCAACGATAGTTTTGACACACAGGTGTAGGAGCTGCACCCTGAACTTAAGATCTTAATAGCAATTAACCCTTGTCGTTTCAAGTAACTGGTAACGCCAAGGGTATGCCATAGTGCAGAGGTTTGTTTCAAGTTATCTCTGAAGCTCAGGGTAAGCAGCCGGAATAGGGCAAGACAGGAGGGGGGCGGGGGGGGGGANAATTCCCAATTAATTTTTACTGTAAAAAAGAACATATTTTTCATTATAGCTCTCAAGACATTAGCAAAAATATATCATTCAATGTAATATTGTCAACTTGTTATAGATTTTATTGGATAAAGGAATATATTTTTTGAAAGGTACTTGCTAACAACTTCAATAACTACATATTGTCCTACATATACCATCTTTAGTGTAGGAAAAAGAATCAGAAAGACACCACACGTAGAACATTTACTGCTAAGACTACATCTACCAACGGAGTTAAGAATAGTTCACATGAAGTGCAACTGCATTCTTCATTTACATGGGATATGAAGAGCTGGCGAAAATGTGGAAGAAGCAAAATGGGGATAATATTGGGGTCTTTTCCAATACCAGTTTAAAACATTCAGGCATCAAAACTGAATCAGAAATAAGTTATCATCAAATACCTTACATTAATATCTTAAAACGTTGTACTAAATCGGTTGAAACTGATATATTCGTATACTTAGTATCTGGACCGCCTCGCATCCTCTCCCTGGTCACTCAGAACTGATGAAGACGTGACATCTCTTTCTGGAGTGTTGGTTACATATGATTCATGGGGGAGGAGGCAGGATATTTTGGACGCATTTTTTACTCAATTATCATAATTATCTGATAGGTGAACCTTCATTGACAATTTACTGCAATAAAAACGCAAAGGATGTATTTGTGTTAGATATATTTCAAAACACGCCATTGATAAAATTAATCCAATACCCTTACACCCCCAACAATGAAACATTACGTCACTGGTTATGATCAAATGCACTTTTTATCTGAACAAAGTTTAGTATATGTGACCGACCTGAGCGAACTATGACGCCATCTGCTGGAATCAGCAGACTAAAACTTTATAAACTTTAAATCATGTGATCATATCTGGATGTACGATGTTGTAGTTTTCATTTACCTTCACAATGACAGATAAACTTTCGAATACATGTGTGTGTGTGTGCGTGCGTGCGTGCGTGCGTGGAACCTGGTCATGATAACCAAGGCGTTTATTAAATTATTCCAGATTTTTACAGTTTTGGCCAGTGGCAGGAAAGAAGGGTTGATTAGTTGGAGAAAAATACCACTTATCCCAGGAAAATTCGTGCAATAATTTAGCACGTCAGCACAAACGCCGTGAAGATACGCTATGCCTATATTTTGCCGAAGCATTTCATTCAAATTGATTTATTTTCACTTTGCATCATACAACCAGTTATCATAACGCCCGTCTGTACTGTCATGTACAAGTTATAACAGTTTTATTCTACTTCCCCAATAGTCATTTCATGCAGTCAATATTGACATATACAAGATTTCAACATATATCATACATCACATGATTATTTAACATACAGCACTCGAATAACATATTTTATGTAATAAAAAGAAATGAAATTCCATTCGTATCAATTTTTTTCTTCGGAAATTGATATTTCAAATTGTTACACCTCCGCCTGGCATTTGGTAGAATACAGAAAAGGTGGTAATTATACGAGCAAGTTTGAAACAAGAGGAGGTGTGTTAATCTGTTAAACTGATTGCATTCAGCAGAGTTGGATTGATCTACATAGAACGAAATGGAATGAAATCTTAGATTCATTAAAATGTATCTTATTATTATTATTGTAGTGCTCTTAATATTTATCTAGAACTTCAACCCACTGGGTTATCAATATCTTATCAATAAATAAGAAATAATCATTATTATACAGGGTGATATTCTGGCGTCTGTTCTCTCTCAACGTGATTGCGACGTCTTCCACAGAATTGATGATAATGTGTTAGGTGTGACAAGCCGTTGACAGCTTTTAATTGTAGACCAAAACAAACTAATTTTAACATTTTATTTTTCTAAAAATGCCGATAAAGAAATTTCAGTGCACTTCTCTTGGTGCTTTTTGTTCCTCATCTACGTATCAGAGTACAATACCCTCCTACCCAAATGTAGAATTAAGTTGTTCATAAATATCTAAGATGTAGTATTGCATGCAAGGTGAACTACCAAAGCGTAAGACACGGTGCGTTTTTTTTTTCTTTTTTACGTCCTACACCAAATCTTAACGTTATAACGCCAAATATAATCTAAATATTTCATGATTTCACCACTTATTCAATGGCTTCCCTTAATATTCACGAGACTGGACAGGTAACTGTTAAATCTTTCTCTATAGTAAAAAAAACATTAAGATTTACTGACACTTTTTTTTTTTAGAAACGGGAAAAATGAGTACGTTTTCAGTTGAAAAAAAAAAAACAAAACAAAATAAAGTCAACTGGTAGATTATTGCATTAGGATTGTGTGGAAAATAAAAAAAATGCAATCCTCCCGAGAATTTGATTTTATTAAATTTCTCAATGTCTTAATAATTCGCTTAATCTTGTTATCTTATTCTCATTCTCTCTCTCAAAATCTGCAGAACCACAGACAAAATGAAATTTAAAAAAAGCATTTAAAAATGAGTTATTTATATCTATCAAAATAAACTTTTCCTATTCGCTGTAACATATTAATTAAAGTGATCTTTACAGTACCTCTCGAGGGGAGGGAGGGGGCGTACACCGGGGCTGTCGTCAAGAAGCCCTTCTCAGCCTTCTAGCTGTTACAAAATTCTTCCGAAGGGCGGGTAGAGCAATGATTTATAATGAAAAGAAAATTGTTTCATTTCTTTTGGGAAATTACATTTGCTATCTTCAAATATGTATTATTTTTATCAAATAATAAAAATAAAGATAACTTAGGTGATCAAGAGTACCGCTATTTGAAATCTTTGGTGTGGACATCACTTCCGGACAACCTTATATTACTACAGGCAATCTAATTTGCATATAAGAGAAAAAAATGCTTTTTTTCTGGTTTTGAGTCATGTACAGTTTTTATTACTTTTGTAAATAACAATGTCCCTTTACCCTCACAGCTTTCCAATCATTTGATCGACACACCCTGTTTATTAATTTATTTATGTAAATTATAAACCTTCATATCACAGGCGTGAATCACGTTATCACGTCCAAGTCATAACATTGTTAAACTAGCGCCAATAACTGCAGTGGAGAATGTAGGTCAATTGCCTGTACAATTCTCCCATAGCGTTATTGATTTTTTCCGGAGTGGAACATTTTAGGGAGAGTCGGACGGGTGAGAGAAGTATCAGTTCAACAGCAAAATATAAAAAAGCGTGGAGCTGCTATAATCAGAGGCTTTTACAATCTTTTAGACAAGTTGTAAAAATATCCCACTTTTCCAGTTCCAACGTGTAGCACATTCAGACAATATGATACATCTCCATGCCATCAGTGTCTCCCTAAAAAATTGTTGACCACGTTAACTGTTCAACTCCCGGCAGAAGATGAACCAGCCAACGATAGTTTTGATACACAGGTGTAGGAGACGCACCCTGAACTTCAGATCTTAATAGCAATTAACCCTTGCCGTTTCAAGTAACTGGAAACGACAAGGGTATGCCATAGTGTAGATGTTTGTTTCAAGTTATCTCTGAAGCTCAGGGTGAGCAGCCGGAATAGGGCGAGACGGTAGGAGAGGGGGGGGGGGGGGCATTTAACTCTTTCACAACCAGGGGCCGAATGCGTTCCCTCAGCACTAACCAGTCAATTTATTTAAGAATCAGTCACTATTATTATTATTATGCATTTTCAAACTTTGTTGTTAACAAGTCAGGAAGACAGCACTTTGGACACGCAGGTAAACTGACCATTAGTGATGGGGTCATCAGTTGATCACAATACAGGGGCCACTGTCAATGGGTTACATTTGCATTTTTCATAGATTTTGTATTAATACTAAGTTTATATATGGTATCAATAATTACCCGCGATCAGACATAAATTTTCTGTCAACAGATTTCTGTAGCTAGAAAAGCAAGTTTTTGAGATTTGTGCAGATAGCAGATAAAAATCAGTAAGAACAACAGGAATGGGTTAGCCTCTTTTTTTTTCACCAAATTGTCTATGTTTTGACATTTCGATTTGTTACAGTAAAATGGTATGTGGATTTATTATTATTATTATTATTATTATTATTATGCTAGAAATTCATTTGTTGACTACAGCTCAGTATTCCTTATGGTTAACTGATACAGAATGTTGTCAGTGTTAGGGGGACTGTTGTGTTCAGTTGATAACTTAAAATATTGAAATGGTGCTGACAGAGAACATTGAATTCTTTTAGACAAAGCATATAGTATTACATTTATAGGTGTTTTTTTTTTCATTTTTCTTTCTTTCTATTTATTGAGATTTTAAACACTTTCAACATCTCATTTGTCAAGCTGCAATTGAATCTGTTACTTTAAACTAAGATCTAATAAACGAAAGTCTGTAATATGTGTCTTGGTTTAATCAAGTATTCATTTGGAGTTTGATCTTTTCTTAATTGAACAAAACGAAGTTTCTTTTTTTACTCTTTATTCTGCCGCTAAGTCATTGGATATATATATAAATTTGATACATTAAAAAATGAAATAATCTAAATGATGAAAATGAAACACTTGTTTACTTCCCTTTCTATTTTCAACAATAAAGATAGAGAGGGATTTTCTAGTGTAATATCATGTATTTGACTAAGTACGATTCTTTTATTATAGATGATCTATCATAGACAATGTGTCTGATCATGGAAGAAAATGGTCAGATGAATACTGAACCTACAAGGTATAAAATATATTCTGAATGATTATTGATAAACACTAAACAAATAAAAATTGAAGCAGTTACATTTGATTGTTCTTTAGTTGTCCAAAAATAGCAAATTTATAAGGTAATAGTATGTTTTTGTCATCTGATCACATCATTGAAAGGCGTAGAAAGGATTTTTCATAATTGTTATAATGAGACCTGGTGTGGTCCTTTTTATACCAGTAAGTATTTCATAGACATCATTGTCAGTAATGATGGTGATATTCTCCGTGGTAAAAGTGTCATCATCTTTATGATTGTATTCTGTTCTGTCTTCCTCATATATATGATGGGTTACGGCATTATTGTTTGTCAGTTTATTTTCCACATTCTTTATATCATCCCTCTCCCCCTCTGAATCTAGAAAACTGTTATGTCCACTTTCATTGCTAAAAGTTCCATGTATATTATTAGAATCATGTTTTCTTTTGTTGTGCATTGTTTCATGTGTTCTGCAATTATTCCCTTGACTGAATTCTACTCCACATTTGTCTGGTTTCTCACAAGTGTTCATTCTTTTAGGGCTAGTGCAGGCCAATTTTGTTATAAACTCTTTGCGAGAGAATTTGCATGTATAATGCTTCTCTCCAGTATGAATGGTTTCATGGACAGTGCAAAAACCTTGTGTAACAGTTTTGTCACCAGTGTAATATCTTTCATGGTAAGTGCAATTCCCTTCTGGGGTGACAGTTTTCACAGAAATTCTACACTTAAAAGGTTTGTCTCCAGTATGATTTTTTTCATGAAGTTTGCTAGAATTGTTTTGTGTAAAAGTTTCCTCATGGAATCTACATTTGTAAGATTTTTGGTCTTTAAAACTTTTGTTGCAGAATCTACATTTGTAAGGTTTGTCTCCTGTGTGAACTCTTTCATGCACAACGCAAGGACCTTTTTGTGTAAAAGTTTTGCCACAGAATCTACACTTAAAAGGTCTCTCTCCTGTGTGAATTATCTCATGGCGTATGCAAGAATTTTTGTGTTTAAAACTTTTGTCACAGAATGTACACGTAAAGGGTTTCTCTCCTGTGTGAATTCTCTCATGATATATGCAAGATGTTTTGTCTTTAAAACTTTTGTCACAGAATTTACACTTGTAAGGTTTGTCTCCAGTTTGAATTCTTTCGTGCTGAGTGCAAAGGCCTTTTTGAGTAAAAGTTTTGTCCCAGAATTTACACTGGTAAGGTTTCTCTAAAGTATGAATTCTTTCATGCACAATGCAATTGCCCTTTTTAATAAAAGATTTGTCACAGATTCTACACTTGTAAGGTCTCTCTCCTGTGTGAATTCTCTCATGATAAATGCAAGATTTTTTGTCTTTCAAACTTTTGTCACAGAATCTACACTTCTAAGGTTTGTCTCCTGTGTGATGTCTTTCATGATTAATGCAATTCCCTTTATGACTGAAAGTTTTGTCACAGAATCTACACTTGTAGGGTTTGTCTCCAGTATGAATTCTTTCATGCACAGTGCAAGGACCTTTTTGTGTAAAAGTTTTGTCACAGAATCTACACTTGTAAGGTTTCTCTCCTGTGTGAATTCT